TGACATGAAAAACCACTCCCCATTTGGGGAGAAAAGTGGTCTCATTTGCATTGGGTTTTTTTTGGTCCCTGAACAATACAGCAAGTTACCTTTGAAATATCGTTCGGTCTATTCTCACCACATACCCTCCTGCTCTGCAAGTAAATCAGTCCGCTCCCTCTTTTGTACACAGAGTTAGTTATGACGAATACATACTCCACCTCAAACAGGTTTTCCATTGATGAAGGGGCACACAAAAAAGGATTATACTGTAATTCCCACAATTATTTCCATTCAGTTGAGAATCAATACAATGAGAAGATGCCATGTATACTTAACCCAACAGCTGAAAAATAAAGTCCAATTTCTAGCAATCAGGAGAGAAAATCACTTATCACAATCAATGACACTGGGGCTTTTCTTGAAGTTGTTTTTTGAAAAAAAATGAACATTTCTTCAATTAAATATAAACGGAAGTTTAAAAAGGTACAAAAGTATTTTTCAATTGCACAAAATAATGTTAACATGTATCCAGCCTGGTATGAAGCATTGCTAACGCTCACGTGCTCTGAGGTGCTGCTGTGTCCTATGGTACATATGTAGAGAGGCACGAACATGAACTGAACTCCATTTTGTAGAATACCAGGAGAATTTTCGTTAGGTCAGGTTATTAAGGGATACAGGGCAAGGACGGATCATTGGACTTAAGGTACAGATCAGCCATGACCTTGTATAATGGCAGAACAGGCTCGAGGGGCTGAATGGCCTCCTCCTGTTTCTATGTTTCTATTAATTGAAATAGATTGATTTCTCTTGCTTGGCTTTGTGATCTCAGCTGGTAACAAGAGGTACAGTGTATCAGATGCCAAATGGGACAGTGAACCGCCACACCGAGACAGCAGTGGGACAAAAGGGCACAGGGTTAAGATTGTGAAGAGCAATGTTAGGCGTCAGGCAGTATTTCTCTACACAGAGGGTAATCATCCCCTGCGATGTATTATCGAGAAAAGGTGCCTGAGGACAGGACTCTGAATTCATTTTCGAAACAGCTTGACATTGTAAAGGTAGACACGTATTCTGGATAGAGAGATCAAATGGACCAAAGAGTGTTTGTCACCCAAATTTCTCTTGTGTTTGCAGTTCGCCCACGAAACATACAGTCAATTCACATCACAGTATATTCTGTGAAGTGCTTTGAGACGTCGCAAAGACGTGATAAGGCGCTATATCGAACGCAAGGATTATTATTATTATTATCTTGCAAAGAGATCTTACAAGGTGCCTCTGTCTGGAAGGGAAGTCAACATTTCAGCAAGGTGTCTCACAGGGCTGTTACCCTCCAACTCAGGCAGACTAGTGAAGGAAGAAGATGGGGAACATGGGAGAAAAATGGTAACCTACATTAAACAGCATAGCTGCTATATCCAGGAACAAATTCAGAAGCAAACTACTATGCAAATCTCTCTGGATGCCTTTCTGGAACCCACAAGTGGGAACAGTCAATCAGAAATAAAAACAAAATGCTGAAAATGCTGGAAAGTCTATCAACATCTTGTCTGACCTCTCGTTGGAAATTTCAGCACTTGCACTTTTTTTGCTTTTTATATTAAAGAGACTTATTAAAATGCCTGGTTTCTCCAGGGTAGACACTAGTTAACCCACTGGAAATTGCCGCACTGCTATTAAATCTTTGCAAACAGTGATATTCAAAACCCGAATATTCATCGAGGCGAATTTATGCGCTGACGTAACCCTTTCCTTTAGTCCCGGAGGCCAGCTGTTGGCAATTCAATCCATGTGGGATGCTCATCTTTATTTTAAAAGATATTCTTTTTTAGATCATTTTACATCGTGCATGGCTTGAGTCAAGTCCCACTAAGGCCTGCGCCCCAGGCGATAATCACTGCTCAAACAGCACTGGGACCATATAGATACTGCATCATCAGAAATTCCTACTGTCCTTACTTCCCCCTACTATTAATGAAGGAAGACTGTATGGGAACTGAGTGTCAAGTTAGTTATAGGTAGGATTAGGCTGGCTGGAATACAGCACTACGAGCTATCTGTGCTTACCATAAACAGGGAAATTAAAACACTGTGTGTACAAGCAACATGTCATGAATAGTTTATAACAAGCAAGAAACTAAGAGTATTAAGGAGGACAATCTCTGACCACCTTTGGGACACCTAAAAGCACTGAAAGCTCTCTATCAATTCCATTTTTAACTGGAGAATCTTTTATTTTCCCCGAAAGGATGGCCTTGCTTATTAGTGGAAATAGAAAGATGGAAATCAAGCCAAATCCCATGCGTGTGGGTGTGGGGAGGGGCACTGAGCAGGAAACCCACAGGAGGTCAGTCAGGGTTTATTTTGGGCAAAGGGTTTCCTCAGAACTAAAGCCTTAGCTGATAAGATAGGATCGAAGGAAAGAAGGATTGAAAGCAAAACAAAGCAAAGCAAAACATTGTTAATATTGATCAAGTCAGGAAAAGAGGGAGATTGAGTCAGTGTTGGTAATGGGAGACAACTGTAAAACTAAAGTGCTGGAAGAAATCACAGAAAACTATGATTTAAACATGTTAAAGTTGATATTCAGGCCTGCAGGCTGAAGAGCTCCTAAAGTACTATTTTAAGAATATATTAAGACAGTGGAACAAAAGGTTCAGGGCTGCAAAGGGCAACTTCAGGACAGCCACTTGGAAGTATGTTTTACACTAAGGTTGATTGATGATTGGTGATTACCAGGAAGAGTGGTAGAGGGCAGGACGCTGGACACATTTAAGAAATAGCTTTGTGCTATTTTGGAAGGATGAGCTCAAATGAGCTTGAAGGGTATACTTCATTGAAACCTCTCTCACAATCTTGTGAAATGATAAGATGCAGCTTGGTTTTTGATGGAGTTTGCATGGAACAGCGGAAAAGGCCAAGGATTTTGCCCACAAAATACAGTCAACCCACTTTACAGTATATCCTGTGAAGAGCTTTGAGATGTCTTGACGACATGATACGGCTCTACATCAAATGCAAGGATTGTTGTTGTATAGAAAGGTTGAGCTGCTTGGTTAATATTCAGTGTTTCATTTGCCTGATTTAAATTGCCAAGCTGACATCAAAGTACTTTTTATATCTGTCTCAAAACCCAACCTCTTAATTGTCAAAGTCTACTCTTGACTCCACCATGCAACTATCGGTATCAAAGCCAATGTTTTCACTGCACCTTTGCAAAAGCTGTGCTGACATTTGTGTTTTCTCTCTGGTTGTCTGGTCCCAGTCTTTGTTTTGCAAAAGCCGACATAAAATCAATTTTGTGATGGTCAACTTTGACTCAGATTATGCAGAAATGTTCTTTAAACTCCCGGATTCCAGTCGTCCAGGTATCCAATGGTTGGAGGAGGAAGATGGGAGTCAATAAACAGCACAATGCACAACATTTCATTTGGAGACCATTTTTTTTAGTACAGCTGTCTTTCTCCACAAATCACATGAATGGTGATTACAGTCTAGTCAGCGAACGAACCATTCACTGCATGACAAAAGTCTAACACCCCTACCCAGGCTGAGACTGGGTGAAATTTTTGTGTGTGGGAGGGGGTGTCAGAATTTTGTGAGCAAATAAGGACTCGATGCATCAGCTATATCAGGTGTATGCAGTGAATGGTTCGATCACTGACCAAGACTGTCGTCACCATTCATGTCATTTCATTTTAGTGGATCTTTAGATCAGGGGAGACAGAACAGACAGCAAGATGGTCTGATCCCAGGCTTACTCTGTAAAGTGGTTTCTATATTTTATGGCCTTAATCAGAGGTACTTTCCTCTGTAGGATTCTCCCTTATTTTCTGGAACTGAGTTCCGCAACATGGGAAGGATCCAAATCAATAATAATAATCCTTATATTTGATATAGCGCTTTTCACATCTTCTAGATGTCTCAAAGCGCTTCACAGAATATACCATAAAGTGAATTGACTGTATATTTGTGGGCAAAACACGGCCGCCAATTGTGCACAGCGGCGTCCCACAAACAGTCATGGATTGAGTGACCAAATTATTATTGTTTTTTGAGGGATTATTATCCCTGGAAAAGAGATCCACCAATCGATTAATAACCAGGGTCCTACTTCCTGCTCAATAAACTGAGGCATCTGGAGTAAGGAAACTTTCCCAACATTTTGCCCTGCCGGGAATCGAACCCAGGTCTCTCGCTTGCTAGGCAAGTGCTCTAAACCACTGAGCTACAGGACTCCACAATGATGCTCTCAAGACAGATCTAAGCACCATGGAGTGCTGCAATAACATTAGTTGACCCTCAAGAACTTTACTGAAATCTACCATGAGAATTGAATGCTTCGTATTTAAGAAGATACATTACAGATGCCTTTCTGTTTGGCGAGAGTCTTCTGAGGATTGAGGTAGCCATTAGCAAAAGCCACGATGATTTATGAAGCAGAAGTTCAAAGAACAAAGAGAGTGCGTAAGAAGCTTGACAAAGCAAATATTTTCTGCATAATGGTAAGAAATAGGCAGCCGTTCAGTTATCCCCTTTGTAGCGTTGTTCCATTCCTCAAATATGCACAACTGAATGTTGAATTTCAACCAAAAGGAGTCAGAAAACTACAATATTTTTATCGTTTAGCATCCAATGCTTCTCCGACATAAGTAATTGCCTCCATTCTTGGACATGAGCTCAACATGGTAAGATGCAGTGAAGCACAATGTAATTTTTCTTTAAATTATAATGTTGTTTTGGTGAACACAAAGGGCAAAATTCCATGATAGCTTGAGCTCTCAAAGTGGCTAAATTTATCTGGATCATCCTTAGTATTCTGAAAACCATTCTGCCTCAATGGCACTGCTGTGGCAGTCATCTCAGAAGTAACCACATAATTAGCTGCACAAAGCAACATTAACATTATAAAGGAGTGCCTGGTATGTATTTCCAGATGACATTGATGACTTTCTCTCCTAACATAATTTCCAAATTCCCTACAGCAATTAATATTAACAAGCCACTTCTCTCACCTCCCATGAAATTCGCATATTGTGAGGTTCCGTTCCTTCTCCTTTGACATTTATCGGATTCTTCTCCGGAACTGAATAAGATGGGAGAAAAAATTGTGCACATTAACAGAATAATCTGAACTCTCTTACATATATAAAAAAATCTTTACCAGACAAGGTGAACAACCTCAATTGTATTCCTGTTATATGTTATAGAATTGCTTAAAAAAATGAAATAGTGAGTGCTCGAAAAAGTGTAATAGCAGAAGGGGAATGTGTAATGTTGACTTGAAGACTTCTTGAGGTCATGGTTTGGACCTTTTTAATGCAATACTGAAACCTGGTCAGGATAAAATAAAAGTGAGGCCCCAATTGCCATCTCGTCTTTAGTCGTGCGATCATTTGGTTTTAAAATCTAAGATCATGTAATGGTGGAAAAGCCTTCAATTCTGTCTCAATGTGGAAGCTGTTTTCTTTTTAAGAACTGAGAAAATCTGGCTTCCAAAGAACTGCTACGTTCAATTTCAGGGATAAAATGGGTCTTTTCAGGCTGCAAGTAAGTGGAAATTTTGAGCCTTTACGTAGTGTTTTAAAAAATGGCTAATTTCATTTTGTGTTTTGGGAGATTTTCCACCCGTTCGTAGCCTGTAAAGCATAGGTACATTAGTAGACTACATTTATTCTTGAGAGTTGAATATAATAATCCTTGCATTTGCTATTTCAAAATGGATCATGTTTTTAAACCACAGTGTGTAACCACCTCTTCTAATGAATGACATGTGGGCAACGGATTAGCCCATAGAGCACAATAGCTCACAGGTTTCAATGGGACTGGCAATCTCATATTAATAGTCTGGAGTTTTGCTCCCTTGTTAGGGATTAGGCTACAGTCTTGTCTATGGACTGTATGGATAGAAGGGGAAAATCAAGGTACACTTTAAGGAACTGGGCACACCAGAAATCGGCAAATAACATCTGTGCATCTAATCTTTATAATGGTTTCCTTAGATTTGTGACAATCTTTCCTTGAACAGACTTGTTTTCATGGGAATAACAACTTGCATCTCTGCTTTACGTTCGTTATTCAGGCAAAAGTCTTTGTGCACGTTGGGATTTGGTATTCCAGTTCCTCAATACCAATCAAAGTCTTTCACTGGCATAATGTAGACAGGTACAGCAGAGGATGGCAGGGAATAATGAAGGCAAAAACCTTATCATTTGCTTGCCAGGTTTCCTGCTGGAGCATCAACACCTTCAGTCTACAGAGCAGACGGCAGGGGAATATCACGATCTATCATGTACTTTGACCAAACACTGCAGATAAATGAAAACCTATCAGTTTCTGACCCAGCTTTCTTGTAACTCATCCAAAATATATTGGATTGGTACCAAAAAGCGACTGGAAAATCTTCAAACATTGAAAAGAAGAAAAAAGAAGCACTTTTCTCTGTGCCAGAACTTGCAACTCAATACAAAAACAGATCAGGAAAAAAAACTTATCTTTGAGAGACAGAGGAATCCCTCGGGAGAGAAGGGGGAAGCAGATTTGCAGAAATTAGAGTTACAATTGCAACCACAGCAGAAATACAACAGTGAAAGAGTTGAAGTATACAGTCCAGCAGTTTCAATCCCTAGGACACCTATAAAAGTGATGCTAAAACATCATAAAACATCAGTTAATGTAAAGTTATGATGGAGAAAATCCAAGTTAGATTTTACTCCATAAATTTTCTTTGCACTTCAGAGTACACAATCTGGCAAATTGTTCAATTCTGTCCAAACTTTGAAGCTGGCTTTCTGAAGTTTCAAGCCAATACAATACAAATTTACATTTATATAGCACCTTTCATGTTTCATAAAATAACTTGCAGTAAACTAGCTTAAAAATTACGATTGGATTTGGATGCTCTGCAATGCTGCATAAATAAAGTCAATCTAGACCAGGATGGAAATTTCCCCAGTGATTTATTTTGTGGTAATTGTGATATTTTAGTAGAGATACATTGAAGGATATTGCCTGTGAGCAAACCGGCTGCCGTGTTTCTCCCACAAAATACACGGTTAAAACCACTTTACAGTATATTCTGTGAAGTACTTTGAGACGTCTCAACGAAGTGATAAGACCATATATCAAATGCAAGGATTAGTATTTATTATTATTATAATCATAAGTCAAGGACTCATTCACTTACCTGCAGATTTTGTAAGGTATCTTTTGGAAGGTGCACTCGGCTTGCTTTTACCCACTCTATTTAATGCTGAAACACGAAACTGATAGTTCATGTAAGGGGAGAGGTGCAATAGAACGGAGGTTTCATTTCCACTGACTGTTGTCCTCGGGTGCCACCTTCCAGCCTCAAACAGATTATCTTCATACTCCACAATAAATTCTGAAAGCAAGAGCCAGGTGTTTGTTTCAAACATTAGTCTATTTGCATCAATAACTTGTCTCGCAGATCAGAAATAAATCGCAAAGAAATGGATGGAACAACTATGACAAATCGATATTTGGTTCTTTTAGTGCATTGGCAAAGTTTTGCAAAATTCCTAGAATTTGTCTTCTCGTTACAGCTCTGATGTAATTAGTAGATGTGCCGACTACCAACAGCCAATGCTTGAATTGAGCCATTGAAATTACTTCTTAAAACAACTGACATTTAACAGTTCACCTTTTCTACACTTTTACTCGATTGATAGTTTAATTAAAAACAACTTTGGTACAATTCTGAAGCCTTTGTTCGCATACAAAGAACTGATCATCATTTTATTTTACATAAATTTAACAAAAATCATCAGCCTGCTGATCAATCAGATGTTCCTTCTAAAGTTACATTAAAATAAATCACTACATCATGGAAATAATTTTTGCATTATTGAATCTTTTTTTTTGAACGATTATCTTTTTGCCATCTCCTAAAAAAACACTTATTTAAAACTGGAGGGTGAAATATAATCCATTTAATTTTTATAGCCTTGAAGGCAGGTGAGGAAGTCCAACACAATGTAATTTAATGTTTTTGAACAAACTTTTGGTGCATTACAATATTGCAGTTCACCACAAAGGCTCTCCTAGGAGGATAGTGATATGAAGTATAAAGCAAGATTTATATAGGAGAGAAAGAGAGCGAGAGCAACATAGAAAATAAATACTGGTAGAGGTAGAGAGAGAGAGAGAACACATACAAACACACATTCAGCCACGTTTCCCATAAAAGTCTTTGTTGAATGCGATTGCTAATTTTGTGTTAGTTGGTGCTCAATTATAATCAAAGACCTCACAGAGGGTTGGGTTGAAGCTGGCCAGATCCATCTCAATTTGGACCCTGAGGGCCAACAATAAGAGGCTTTTTCATCCCATTTGTCTGGCCTGGAATCGAATCCAAGCCCCAGAGGTGATGAAAGAGCATCCCGGCTATGTGCCACCCGATTGCTCTCCTCAAGCACCACTTTGAAAACAAAAAAAATGAGTGAAACAACAAAATGAAAGAAAGTTGCGGGCAGGAAAAGCAATTTACGAAACAATGGGTACGTACCAGTTATGGGGCTGTTACGGCTATTGCCTGGTTTCCACGTTAGCCTAATGCTCCTATCCTGTGAATCTGACAACTCCAAACCTTCTGGTGATTCTGGAATATCTAATAAAAAGTAAATTAAAATGTTAGTAATTCTTGCAAATGCACCATCATTTTCAAAATTGAAATGAAACGTGCTAAAATAATCTGTGTGTTTTGCCCAAGGATAAATGAATCACAAATGGATACCATTACAAGATAATGAAAAAAAACACGGTCAGTTGTCTGGCTGATGGTGAAGAAGCACTGATAAAACCACCACAAAAAAATCAATGCTTGTGCATGTTTTGGGTGATTCATATAGTTGTACCTGTGGCACTGATTGGGTCATGTTCTTAACCTAATTATTCAGTTTTACAGGGATCAATATTGTGTCTTGTGCATTGATGGCATCATTTTCAATCGACACAAACCGGTGGAAAGGAATATAGCCACCAGTCCAAATTAACTTGTGTATTTTGCAGAAGAATTGCTTTCGGAAAGATTTGGAATGTGGTGGAGAGAAAACAAATCAGAGATGGGAAAACAGCAAATGTTTTAATTATCAAAATACCGTGTGACCCTGTGTTTTGGGGGTCCATAAATTTAGGCCCCCTTGTTATAATATACATGGACGCTGGCTCCAATTCCAGCTTGCCTGTTCGCTGCTGAGGTTAGCTGACTTGTCTCAACAACAACGTATACCAACAACAACACAACCTGCATTTATATAGCGCCCTTCAAGCACGGTGGATTGATTGACCAAATTATTTTTATTTAATTTGAAGGCCTTATTCCCCCCGGAAAAGCGATCCGCTTATCAACTAACCACCAGGTTCCTACTTAATGCTGGGTAAACAGAGGCGCGTGGAGTAAGGAAACTTGCCCAACGTTTCGCCCTGCCCGGGAATCGAAACCAGGTCTACTCGCTTGCAAAGTGGGTGCTCTAACCACTGAGCTACAGGACTCCACAAGTCCTGTCGAGCTAGTTGTTTATGATGCGCTGGCCAGTTACAATCAGAATTCCCCATCAGTGACTCTCAGTCAATGCTAGTGATGATTGTAGACAGTCACTTTTTCCAACCCCATTACTTCTGTTGCTCTGATTTTTCAAATCGAGAGAATAATAATTCTTTGTCTCTCCCAACAAATCTGCCTGTTTATTCATCCATCCCGCGACAGGCACTATCGACTCTATCGACTCTATTATTCAGTGGCATAAATCTATTCTATCTCATTTCTCAAGCCATTAGAAAAGATAATTTCTACAGACATTAGGAAAGATAACGACAGTTTTTCCTGCTCAGTTATTGTGATGAAATGCTTTATCTTCCCAGAAGAAAATAAAGTACTTTCCACAAATTATTTCTGTGGCTTCAAATTGCATTTTCTTGGCGACTTAAGCTATTTACTAAGCTAGATACATTGCGCTGACGTCCAATGGCTGAAACTAACACTGCTAAGAGACTGGGCAAATCTTGTCGGTCGCACAAACTTTCAGAGGAATATCCAGCTGTGGAAAAGCACTCGGGTAAAGTTTGCCATAGTTTAAGCCTGGTGTTGTCTTAATAGATAATGCCCTCCTCTGCCCCAGAAAGGGGCACTTACTGATACACTAGAGTTGTTTTCGTTGGCAAAAATTGACACAACATACGCCTAACAAAAAAACACCATCTTGAAATAGGTGGCAGTGATTGTGAGGTGGAGGTGCTGCATATTTTGCACCTATTCCTGAGGTTGCTTGAAAGTGAAGCTATTCCAGAAGGTGAAACTATATTTAATCGAATCCAGATGTTGCGTCCTTATTCTGGCAGCGCAATGTTATTATTGAAAGGCTCCCTAATGACCAGGGTCTGATCACGGTATCAGGTCACTGCTGTGGTTTTACTGTGCCGAGTTGCACACCAGGAGAATTTGACTGAAGGGCAAGCTTGCGGTTCTATCAGCCGAGCAGTGGAGGGATTAGACTAATCAAATCGCACAGCTCTTTAACAATGAATTAACATTTCACGATGAGAGGCTGAGGCAATTTAGCAAAATTAATTTGAGGATCGACAAGCTGGTTGACTAGATCTCAGGTGGCTCCAACAGAAGCGTGAAGGGCCCAGTGATTCTCCATAACCCACGTGCACAGCAACATCTTAAACCACTTACTGATATGCCCTCTGTTAAACATCAACATTTTTGGTGCAGGAGATTATTTGGCCCATTGCGTTTGTGCAACTGATTCTTGTATTATCACTATTCATTATTTATCCCATTTTCCATCTTTTCCCTCATATATTTCGATATTTTTATTGCTCAAGTGCTTATCCAGTTCCCCTTTGAATCATTCTATCAATTCAACTTCAATATCCTCTTGTGATGAACTCCAAGCCCTAACAAGCTTCTAAGTGAAGACATTTCTCTTTCTGGTTTCTTTTGCTGCCATGACCGAGACTGTGAATCTGTAAGGATTCCTATTTCCCATGGAGGAGCAATGTTATGTGAGAATAGTAGGATGGGCATTATGCAAGGATGAGATTGAATGGGCCCAAGGGCTGCCTTCATGAACTTCCCTTGCAATACAGCTCTCTGGCACAGTCCTTATGCCATCACTCTAATAAATAACCTACTTATGCTTTTTACAATTTTTTTCCTTCATAAAGCTCCCTGAGAAAAATGGCAGCTTTTGTATGCAGTTTGGGACTTAATTAATTGGCTGCCCTTCGCAAAACAAATAATAATTTGCAGGACGCGTTACGAGATGTTAATATGCAATTTACAGTACGCAGATTGCAACTTACGCAGCGACTAAAAGGAGAAAATTTAAATTGAACGGTGTCGCAACTTTGTTGGACTTCTTTAAGGTTACATGTTGAACTGCAAAACACTCAAGAATCCCTGCGCAATATTAGATTCCATATTAACTTCTAGTTGATAAGACCTTGTAATTAAAAAAAAACTTCAGGCTCCTCTACCTTTGCATTGCTGAATTATTTATCTTACTCGCTGTGTTTTGCAATTTACGCTATATAAGTAAGAATACAACTGCTTAGCAGGCAGAAATCGGCTTCAAATAGGGAAACCAAGTGAGGGGGGAAATCAGGCCTTCCCAGTCAACATGAACGTTTTATATCTAATAGCAATTCAGCCGTATCCAAACAGGAAGCACGGAGATATCACCATTCATTAAGTATTTCAATGCACATTCTTGCATTTGCTTCCACTTAGCCAACTCATTTACTGTGATAAAGACCAGTATCGGTCAATTGATTGGGTCGATAGGGAGATAATTCAATCAACCTATCTCGCCACATCAATCGAAGCTCATTCACGTTGTGTTGACTCCATATGTTTTGCTGTAGGCCAGCAAAAAGGAAATGCAAAGCTGGATCCTTGCTTTTCCAAGAGAGTTCTGTTGTTCCATTGGTGCAGTCTGATGTTAAGCTTGCAACTGTTCAATATCTAGTGCTGTCCTGTGACCAAAGGGGCAAGGAAGCTTAGGTCCATTCCATGTCTTAAGATAGTTTTTCTTATTATATAAGGCTCCAGTTCTGTGCCATGTCCAGTAAACTCCTGATAACTCATCACTCCAAGGGAAAAGGGTTCAGTGATGGGTTATCCGGAGTGGCGAGTTAGTAATGTATTAATATATAAATAAATATGGCCAGGATAATGGCAGCATAATAATCCTTGCATTTGCATGATGACTTAAGTGGTCATGACAAGGTAAACCAGGATTGAGTTATCAAAGTTTACTGTATAAACCATATGGATTGTGCACAGAGGGATATAGTGATGCCCTTAATCATGCAATTAACTAATGAAAATGAGTTATTAATCTTAAAGTTAGAAACCGTTAATTATCATTGGTTGCGAATGACCTCATTAAGAGCACCTGTAATTCACCCTTGCACACATGTGTGGTTTACACATGACACAAACAGCGTGTTTTTACATGGCATATTACATAATAACTGGAGTGGATCGCAAATTGTTCCAGATGAACACTCGGAACAGACAAATCTCCGGCTGAATTTATATTCGATTCATCAGGAAATAGACAGATGTTAAACTCTAACCTAAGACACGCTTTCATTTCCCCAAAGAGTACCTCAACTATAAGCACCCGTTAATCCCAAGACGGTACTTTAAATTGCAGCCTCCGCTGCACAACCAGATTGCAAGGCTGCAGGGGTTGTCACAACATAAGATCCGCAATTGCAGTTACACTGTGCAGTTGAGGGGCGTCGAGACTCTGGGTGAGCATCATTGTGCGCGAGCTTATGTGTTTATTCATTCTATCAATCATCTCTCTGGAAAGTTGTATACCATATTTGCAGTGTTTAATAGAATCAGCAGATGGTTATTGCAACTGCTGGCATAATATCAGCAATACAGTCATCTCTACACGCTTCCAACTCTGCCACTTTTTCTTTTATGGCTAACAGGCTCTGCGTCTATTCCTCCATTTCTTCTCCCAGTTGCAATCACGGAGATGGCACTCAATTGACTCTTCGGCTTCTGCTTGTGGAAGCATGTCTGGTCCTTACTCTGCGTTTTCCCCAGAGAGTTTGTGCATTTGACATCAGGAATGCAGCGGCCCAGCAGACATCATCTGCTATAGGATGGTTGGATGCAGAGCTAAGTTTCTCTAGCTCTGTCTCAACAACATTCCTCAGTTCAACCTCAGAGACACAAATTTCTGACTTTGGTCACACTATTCTAGTTCTGAAATCAGTCATCATGTCATATCCCCTGTGAGACTGCTAATTCAGTGCTGAATTAATGGGGCAGTTTTATATCATGAGCCCATGCCCATGAGGAACACAGTTGTTTCGGTTCGTGTTTCATGCCACACGGCACCCTTGGTTTTGCCCACAGAATATACAGTTAATTCACTTTACAGTATATTCTGTGAAGCTCTTTCAGACGTCTCGAAGACGTGATAAATGCAAGGATTATTATTATTATTGGAGCACATAGATTACGAGACTTGCATTGCATTCCGTCAGTCTGGGCTGGAGTGCAAACCGGGTCCTAGAGTTGAAAGATCAGGGCGACGACCCCAAATACAGCCCCCGATCCTTCACCAAACTCCT